CTACCGGATTCTATATGTGCATTTGTCCATGGGTTTTTCCGGATACAGCCCGATAGAAAATGTATAGGAAATTACCTATAGGCACACCATAACTTTTACATTTTCCCTATTGAGACCGATAGAAAATAACTCAATGAAGGATATATAGGGATATCCCTATAGAGCAACCATAAAACATTTGACAAAATTATAGGGTCCTATAGGGAAAAAACTAATTTCTACATTTATGTGTATTTTCCCCATTGAAACCGATAGCAAATAAATCAATGGTGGATATCCCTATAGAACAACCATAAATCTCAACTACGGGTCCTATACAAACCGATACACCCTATAGAAACACCATACATCCCGATACAAATATCTATCGGTTTGAACAGGGTCTCTATGGGGTATTTTAAGCAGGGATTAACATCTTGTATTTTTTTTGAAAACAGTACTTTTTTATTAAAATCAGTACGTTTTTCATTCCAAATCAGTACGGAAATTTTTCGTGGTCTGGCAACGCTGCAGGAGGTAACATTTATAGGTGCAATTACATGATCAATTAAAGTACCATAGTTTGTTTTTAAATTTCTGCGTGTTATTTTGTTTTTATTTGAATGTAAATTTTTTATTTCATATGAGTTTAATTCAATGATTTCTTTGTATTTTTTTGTTTTACAGTTGTCCTTTAAAATGTCAATGTTTTTATCACCAATTATAATACAGTTTTTGTTTTTCTCAAGAATTTTATTTGTTAGTGACAGGAACGTATTAAGTTTATTTTCTGGGGATCTATAAACACAAAATATTTTATATTTAAAATTTGTTAAATTTACTCCAACTATATTACATTTTTTTATATTATCTGTATTTACGCTTTCAAACTGTACATTTTCTCTTATATAAATTGCTACTCCACCTCCTCTAGTATTTCTACAATTGTGAACCCCTATATACCCCTTTATATTAAAATACTTAATTTCATTTTCAAGTAGCCATGTTTCAGTTAGTAAAATTAGCTCCGGGTTTTTATGTTCATGTATATAATAGTGAATATTTTCTAACTTATTTTTAGTTTTAATTGACCTTATATTTAAATATATGATAGATATTGTATTATTTACTCCAAGATTAACAGCCAATTTTAGTTATTTTCCTTTTTTATTAATTAAGTCTTCTAAGATATCTTCTGATGAAATATGTACTATTTTACTATTTTCAGTTTTTCTTAGAAAAATTTTACCATTTGAGTACCAAGCAAATTTATATTTTAGCTGTACTTTAGCTTCCCTTGCCTTTTTCAGTAATTTTTGATTATCAACAGTTAGATCATGGTTTAAAAAGATTATATGGTCTTGTTCAAATCCAAGTTCATTTGCTTTTAGGGTCTGATCTTTTTTTGCTTTCATAATTTTTTCTTTAGTTTCATAGTTACTAAACGTTACTTTAAGTTGCTTTTTTTCCTTTCCAACAATAGCACATGTAATTTCTTCTTCTTGCACATTTACCTTCATCTTCTTTCCAATTTTTACTACAGTTTCCTTTAGTTCATTTTCACTATTTTCTGCCAGGGATAAACCAGATATCATTAGATTATTTTTTAATTTATCTTGCTCATTTGTATTTTTGTTATTTTTTAGATGATATACTTCTTTTTTTAATAATTGATGTTCTTCCTTTAGTTTTTTTATATCTTTTTTTAATTCCTTGCTTTCTTTTTCTTGAGCATCAATTTTTTTATGTAGTTTATCATTTTGGTCGATAACATAATTGATTTTTTCAAATAAATCTTCCAGTGATATCTTATTTTTAGTTTGATTTTTTACCTTTGCTTTAGGCGAGATCTTTGATTTGGTTGGTGATTTCTTCTTTGTCTGACTACCATCATCCTCAGATTCATCTGATTCTTCATTATCACTATCTTCGTTTTCAGTATCTCTACCCTCTTCATCACATTCTTCACATTTCCATATTATCTTCTTTTTTTGTATATCTTTAATTTCATTTTTACTTAGGGTGGTGCATTTTTGATGGACCCATTCTTCGCAATTATTGCACTGAACTTGTACTTGATTATGAACAAGCTTCTTGGTACAGTAAGCACAATTCATTTTTAAAGAACAATTTTTTAAGTACTGCTCTGCACAAATTGTTTATTTTCGAAAAATATAATGTCTTTTAGCGAATTTTTGAACTACTCTATTCACACAATGTTTATACACCATTAACTTATGTTTCACAATATTTTTTCTTATCTTATACCACTTTATTTACTAAATATTTGTTCAGCAAAATTTCGCACGACTCTCACTCTCACGCGTAAATTTGCCAATTTCCCCACATTAAAGTTTTTCACTTTTTCCTTGACAACTTAAAAAAGTTAAATATTATTTTTTATATATTTTTTAAATTGTATAAATTTATCATTATCAAAGAAAAAAACTTTAGTACATACACTATATACAGGGTGTCCGAAAAATGACGGGCCACGTTGTAGGGAGGGTTATTTTAAGTCTTAAAAACTCGGCAACGTTGTGTATTTTTAAGGCGATTAAAAAAAAATCTAAAAACTTAAAAAAAACAAATATATACCTAAATCTACAAAGATTTTATGTATTTTCTGACAGCTTTTGTCTGAAAACCCAAAACATTTAATAACTTTGTAATTATTAAAAAATTTTAACTTTTTATTTTTAAAACGTCATAATAAAGTTGTGTATAAATACTAGGGATGCACCGAGTAGTGGTTTTTAAAAAAGCCGGGTACCGGGTTTGCCTAAAATTTAAACACCGGGTACCGGGTACGGCTAGACCGGGTACCGGGTACCGGGTATTCGCCGAAACGAGTGCACATAACCCAACTTTATTAGATCAGACTGTCCCAAATGTGTCAAAAATATTTGTGCTCTCCACCATCCGGTGTCTATTCCGAGACAATATTTTCAGAAGCTGGGAATGTGTTTGATACAAAAAGAAATCGTCTTTTACCAGAAAATGGAGAAAAACTTCTTTTTTGCACCACAATGCCCCCTGCTTAATTATGAATATTAAATAAATAATGTGTCAGTGTCAGAGGGAAGTTTCATTAATAAAAATTTATTATTAAATGAAAGCAAATTATTTATCTTATTTTTTAATTTGGTATTACATGTTGATTTTTAATTTTTTTATAATCAATGTTAATTTTTTTAATATGTTTATTTTAAGAGTTAATGTTGTTTTTGAATTTTTATTTATAAATTAAAAATAAAACTTAAAAAATTCTATTTTTTGTTTTGTCAATGTACCCGGTTTACTCGGCCGGGTACTGACTATTACCCGGTGAAACCGGGTTACCCGGTTTCTTCGTTATTTGGCCGGGTACTCGGCCATACCGGGTACCGACCGGGTACCCGGTGCATCCCTAATAAATACACAAAATATAAATAAAATTTTCTAACGATTATAATCCTTTTATATAAATACATGTTTAAAAAAAAATTAAATATAAAAAATAAAATTCAATTTTTATAGCCTTATAACTCAAAAACTAGTTTATTTTTTCGCTGTGTCTAGTCTCACGCTAGCGTGAACGCAATTTTATTGTTATTCTCACGCTAACGTGAACGCAATTTAATTTTTATTCTCACGTCAAAATAATTTTAATTTTATTTTCACGTTTACTTCGTTTACTTTTAGTTTTTGGTTAAACCTAAGGCTGCCAACTTTGCCCAGGAGCGGTTTTAGACATCTACTGAGGAAATTTACTAATAATAAAATCGAGACTCTTTTACTGCAGCCAAACCAACCCAAACTCAACAACACAACCCAACCGACCCCGCCCCATTGGGCCCCCCCCCGCCCCATTGAGCAAAAAAACCAACTAAAATGGGCAAAATGAACGATTTTCCAATAGTTAGTTTTAACTCATCATTATTGTTGTTTTTGCCAATGGCAATACATTTTACGTTCACTTGTAACAGGGCAGATTTCACAAATCGGCCAAACCGCCTGCCAACATTTAATAAACCTCAAAACCGCGAAAATTAGATTCACAGAACAAATTAGATTCTTGAAAGAATCTTAAGTTATGTTACCATTAGTGACGTCACCGCGTGAGAATAAGAATAAAATTGCGTTCACGCTAGCGTGAGACTAGACACAGCGTTATTTTTTTTACATGAAAAAATCTTTCCGGACCTAGGGACAGGCCTAGGGTGTATTCCAAAATGTACAGTGGCAGACACAGAATTTTGAATGTTATAATTTGGTTGTCCATGTATAAATCCTGTAAATAGCAAAGAAATAATATTGTCCATTTTTGCTTTCGCTGTCAAAACGACAAGACTAGTGATAACCGGAAGTAAGGTTAGTTGGCCATAAAGGACGTTAAGATTTTAATATTAACTGGACAAAATCCGTTCAAAATTCCGTGTCCGCCACTGTAATATGTTGTAATGATCAGTACTCCATGTGAAGTTTACTTTATCAACTAATTTTTAAGTTTTTTATGACTGCACATGGGTTTGTACTAATAAACATTATTCTGTTTTGTGACTTTTGATACTGTTCTTCTGTTGAAGATTAAAATCTCACCACCGCGTCGGTAAAATTTCATAAACATCAACAGTTTGATTTTTTTATTTTAAATTTAACGTCAAAAATTTGGGGGTTTAGTTGGCAAATTCTAGGGACCCTAAATTTATAACTGGCTACATTGGTAAAACAAAATAACTAGTGGTTTTATGTAGCACAAATTAATTATCTCATCAATTGTTTTTAGAATTTCTTTTCATTTATAATTTTTTGATATCTTTGGCATTGTATATTAAAATTAAGGCATTGAACCAATTTTAAATATTAATAATACCAAAGTAATTGATATACAGTACCAACATAATCAAATGTGTCAAATTACGAATAAAAAAAACTACTGCTATAAATCTGATCTGGAAAGACTGCTAATAAGTATCCAAAAAAAAAATTTGTTAAAGAACTGCTTAAAAATTGTCTCATAATGTAAAATAAATAATTACCTCTATAGTATGATCTGGTTACAGCTCTGAACCGTTCTTGACCTGCAGTGTCCCATATTTGCAGTTTAATTTTTTGCCCTGATACTTCAATGATGCGTGTACCAAATTCAACTCCAATAGTGTGGGGACAATCTGCCATAACTAAAAATTATCAATAAATAACTATAAATAAAAATAAGATAATTTTTTAAATGTGTTAAACATTGCAATGTTACAAGGTTATTATGTGAAACTGATATTGTGGTAGAACTTACATTTTTTTTCGGTGAATTGATGCAGCAGACAGGATTTTCCTACACCCATATCACCTATGATAATGTATTTGAAAATATACGAATAATTATACGGTCCAGCCGACATTTTATCTATAAACAAAAACAACAATAATAATAATAACACAAATGAACCATTTAATCAGAAAAAATTGAAATCAATTTATAAACCTTCCAAAGTAAATATTATTTTTTGACTAATAACATTGCAATAATTAGAATTTTACCTGAATAAAATAATTATTTGTTTTATAAAATTTTTACATTGTCATACGTAGAAAATTGTTATTTGGATTACGTACCTCCTTTTTAATTCCAAACTAAATCAAAATTAAATATCCAATCCAAGTAAATAAATGCTGAAAAGAGTTTTTTGTTAAGCTGTCACCAAATGTCAAATTACAAATAGAGAGCGGCCATCATTTTTCACATCTACGCAGCTAATCAATGAAGTACTTAAAAATTGATTATTTTTTGAATAAATAGGATTTTCTTCATATTTATTTACAGCAAAATTGATTATTTTATTAATAATGATAATTTTATAAACAAATATTTAAGTAAATCTGTAAATTAATTAAATATTGTATGACGGAAATATGAAAATTAAATGTAGTTAAAATGCGCGCTAAATTTAAAATTAGGGTAGGGATTATAAAAACAATATTTTACGAATTTATTTCTTATATTATTCAATACTTATTTGTGTAAATTCAATATTGTTCTTTTATGTTAATTATTTGATTTTCTCATAATAAAGAAACTACACAAAAATCTAAGTACCTTACGTTTTCTAGACAAAGCTTTAGTACAAAAAAGAAAATCGGCTTGTAGACTATGGATAGTCCCAAAACAACTATGAAAATACCTCGGAAAATACTTAATTTTACTGGACGTGTAAGTAGTTAAAAGCAAATAGATGTATATTGCTAGTAGAAAGTACAGAAAAGTTAAAAATATTCTAGTGCCTTAATATTTTTACAAAAATTTGACAAAAGGGGGGCACAACCTTGGAAAACATCCTAAAAATATCTCTAATTTCTTATCATACTCAGTCCCTTTTGTCCCCCTAAGGACCCCCAAGTTCAAAGCTGAAAATTGTTTGTGTATTTGGAAATACAGGGTGGCCTACCACCCCCTTTTATAATTTATTCCCTGTTTATTGGGAAATTCATATTTTTATAGATTTTAAAATATTTTACAGCTTTGCCAATGGTATCACATGTTTCAAATCTCATTTTACTAATCTGCCCTGCAAAGCTAATTTTGTTAAAAACAATAAAAATAATATTTTGTCCTTTATTACTTAAAATTGTTGATACGACCTTAAAGCTTATCAGGGCAGTAATGTAACCCAGTTTTTTTATTTAAAAATACACACAATAAGGCAAAACTATCAATTGAATCTGTTTTTATCACATTTTATGAAATTTACTGATATTACCTAAACATTTGTATTTTTTGTATTTTGCAGTACATAAGTAGCTTTAATTAATAAAATAAAGTGCCTAGTCAAACGTATATCTTTTAATAAGTAAATTATATACTTAAAATTAATTATACACCAGTTAATAACAAAAAAAGTAAATAATCAATGGTAAAGTATAAATAAGTATGTACAATGTAAGTATTATGTAAATAGAAAAATAAAATTTACAAAAAATTTTTATGCATACTTTAAGTTTACAAAAATTAATATTTAGTAGAACAGCAGCCTTAAGTAATGGAAGGAACATAAAAATATGGCATATAAATTCAGAAATAAACTTGGGTAATTACCCGCACAACAATCCTGAGCGCAGGGCGAGATTTAAAAGCAAAAGCTTAATTATTATTTGTCACAAAACTTTATTTTGAACGCGCGCATGTCCGCGACACAATTTCAAATTGACTCAGGAAATAATTTCTTTTTCACACAAATGAGCAAAATTCATAACAAAATACGGCTGAAGGTAAACTGCGAAAAATCAGAGTTCAGGGGGCTGTGCGGGTACATATAATAATACTTGAATGCTTTTGCATTGGCACACATTTAAAAGTAAATAATTTTTTTAAATTGTTTAATGTAAACATGGTGTTTTTGTCCACACAGAAAAGGAAATATTTTGTTAAAAATTATTGTTACTTAAAAAGAGGTTTTACAAATTAATGTTTTTTTTCATTACCACACTGATAAATCATGATATTTTAATTTCGAAATCAAATATGTCATTAAAACTAAGTAGGTAAGCAATTGTCTTAATAAGGATTTTCAACAATCAAGTCTTGATGAAACTTTCCTGTTCCTGTCTATGCCGTATTTTTACGCTAAACGTATACAGTGCCAAGTGCATCCGAACGCCTTGAAAGAGAGGGTATATTTTGGAGCGGCGAAGGCGTTCAGATGCACTCGGCACTGTATACCTTTAGCATGAAAATACGGTATACTTAAGCTTTGTCACCACTAGGTTTTTAAAATTTACGGAAAAATTGAGCCGGCAGAAAAACTTTTTCCGAAAAAAAAAAACAGAAAGAAAAAATGCAAATGAAAATTTTAAATATTTTACATATTATATCTGTACACTCATATCGAGAATTTCAGACTCTGATTATAATCATATAATATTGTGATTATAATAATTATTCCTATTATTTTAATTCAGTAAGAATATTATACCAGGCAGCAAAAAAAAACATATTCAGTAGTGTATTAACAAAACTTTGGTTTTATTTGACACATAGATTTATTAAATTTTAATTTTGTAACTTTACTTTATAAACCATTCATTATTTTGTAAATGGATATTTTTAATTTTTGCAAAGGACCCAACCGACAGTATATTTAACGTATTCAGTTCAATGTTTAGTTTTATTGTTTTTTTTTCTGTATTAAAGGATTTTTTTATTTAAAATATTGTTAAATTGTTGATTGCTGCTTTTATTAAAATGTGTATATTTTCCAAACGCTATCCGTTTATCGAAAAGGAACCAAGCGACAAAAACTTTTTCTGGGGTAAACAAAATATTTTCAAAATAACTCATTTTTAATGCATCTCAAAAAATTAATAATGATTTGGAAACCTTCTCAATCCTTTTGAGAAAAGTTCCAAGTTATTTTATAAATAATTTTACTAAGCACAGAAAAAGTTTTTGGCGCTTGGTTCCTTTTTGATAAGCGTTATCCAAATCCCAATTTTTCCGGTTTTTTTTTCGACACTTTAAAACCCCAGTCACCACATATGGTTTTAAAAAAAATAACATAAACACCGCAACAATTTAATAGGAATAAGATTTTTAAAGGTTTGTTTGTTACCCTTTTATATTTTAAACACCCATAATAAAATCAAACCTTATTATAATAAGAGTTTTAAAAAATGCGATGTTTTGTGAACGAAAATAAATTAACTTGATGATAGATTTGATTTTTACTATACAGATTGTCTAGAAACTAAACCAAAAAGAATTAAAGGATAATTTTAGATTGATCTGACCCAAACCATCTAATAATAAATCTAAAATCATCCCTAAAAATCGCTGTCTTTATTTGTTTAGTTTCTGGACACCTTTTACATATTTCTGAATTTATAAGAAAATAGTCCAGATCAATACACACAATTGATAAAAAAAATACATTGTAGATCTCATATAAAAAAGTCCACTAGAATTACTTTGGTAGATCTAATACATAGTAAATATGTCAAAAATCCATCATGACAAAATAGCTATGCTTTTACGCGAGGCAGCGCCCCCGTTTGGAATGTTGTCTAAGCTCGACCACTTTTTCAGTCCGTTTTTGATCGCCTCCTGCGTATACTTGTCCTCCATGACCAGCGACATAGCCTCCAACTTTTGAGCCCGGTCTTTGCTGAGAGGTTTGGTGGGGAAAGTGAGGTCCGCAGCTTCGGCTAGCGTTTGTAAGTCGAAGTAGTACTTGGCGTAAACGCTAGAGGGCACGTTGATGTTGAACTGGAGCAGTTCCAGAAACTGACGTTCCAGCTCGTTCATGTCCTCTACAGTGATGTCTTTTAATATTTGACAATAGTCAACATTCCATACTGCTTGGTCGTCCCACACTTTGGATGCCAACAAAATTGCACCTAAAATGTATATTAAATAAGTACTAAGAATTACATTAAGGTTTTTGTTAGTAATAAGTGTGACTAAGCTTGTTAAATAATTAAAGTTTATCCTCATAAAGATCATCATTTTATCATTAATATTACTATAATTACTACTTTTGTTTATGTTGAAAATTATCTCTAAATGACCTAAATAGCTTTAAAAAGCAATTATCTGAATTAATACTAATTATAATAAGATATTTTAAGTTTATAAATAGTAATTGACCTTACTTCCAGAAAAAATAAATGTGATTAAAGCATGCTTTTTCTTCATAATTTTTTGTAACGTTTACCAAAAACCTATTACCCCACTTTTATTGATCATAATATATTTTATTAAATTATTAATTTACTACTTTAACGTTCTGGTGATAATTTAATTTAAAATTTAATAATTTTTAAAGGGTAAATAATCGAAGAAGCAACTTTTTTTATAAATTTGAGTATAACAGGTTAAAAGTATTTAATAATTTAAATTTAACAATTAAATACATAATAATAAAAAGGCCGCGTGGGCTTATTTAAATACCTACGGCTATTTGCCTGCTTGAAAAAAAACTATGAAATCCAATGCAAAGAAACAAGTGAAAATAGTGAAGATGAATGTAATACAATGGAAGCATTTATGCAAACACATTAACATTAAGCATAAATACCCTTCTATTGATTAATTTAATCTTAATGTTAATGTTAATTTGTGCTGCATAATTCCACCATAAATTAAGTTTACTTTAGTTTTTGTCATTTTATTATACAAATCACAATCCACACAACAAATTTGTGGGTCATAAAATAACCTTCAAATTGACATTTGACAGCCCTGATAGAATAAGGTTTATTTTTTTTTACAAAAGAGGAGTAAAATGATTGTTATTACCACCTTGAGGACTCTTTTAAGGCTTGCAAGTATCTCTGTAAGAAACACAACGTTTAAAACGATTATTAATCTGTACAAACTCAAAGCACAAGAATTGTAAACAACAAAAATGGCCGCCATTAAATGATGTGCAGTGTTGCAGTGATTTTTTGTATTTTTAGTAAGAGATCGAACAGACCTTGTTGTGTGGATTGTGATTTATTATCTATGATTGTGATACAAATGTTAATTAGGTAACCTTAAATGTAAATATTGAAAAAACTAGCCAGAAATAGTTGTTTTCTTAAGTCAATAGCCTATTAATAAATGGTAAAATTTATGTATGTTTAACACTATTTGGCAAAATAGCACTTCCCCACAAGCTAAGGTCAAGATTGTTGTTATACCTGTTGTAGATGCTTGTAATCTTTTAGGGTTTAATAAATTTAAAACAAAAAAAATGGAAAAAAATGTGGTTAAAACTGCTTGACAGTTGTCAGATGTCAGATACAATATCAAATAAACTTTAACTACGGTTTCGCGAAAGGATCGAACCAGTGGCGGAACTAGTGGGAGCACAAGGGAGCAGTGCGGGGGGCCCAGGGTGATAGGGGGCCCATCATTAAAATAATTTAAAAAACATACATGTTTCTTAAATCATTTTAACAACATTAAGAACCTGGCATATATGTATAGATAAAAAATATAGGCAAAATTAGTAAGAATTAAATTCTTTACAAATTTTGTTGAATTCAACAAAATTTGTAAAGAATTTAATTCTTACTAATTTACTTAAGTTTAAAAAAATACTGCGGCGACATCTAGGTTTATATATACATTAGTAGCTATAACATATTAGAGGGCTGCCGATAGTATACATTAGTAGCTATAACTTATTAGAGGGCTGCCGATAGTGTGGCTACTTTTTATATATATTAGGGTGATTAATTTCCGCAAAGTTTTTTTTTTTCGGTGCTCAAGCAAAATATTAATCTACCTATAGAAAAAAAAAATTTTCACCAAGGTAGAGCTCTTAATATCAATTTTAAGTACTTGCAGTTTGAATTTAAAGTTTTTCCATTTGAAATGCATGTAAAAAAAATGTTTTTTTTTTCAAATTTCTAATGCTCGCCCGCTTTTTACAATATTGTGAATCGGTTTTATGGACCTTATAGGGAATTTCACGCTCTTCAAAATTGTCTTTGTGTTTTTTTGTGTAACTCGTAGTGGTTCGCCAGTAGGAGTCATCAAAGTTCAATTTTTTGAGTGAAAATTTTTTTTGCAATTTTTTTTAACAATTCGCCGAGAAAAAAAAAAGTTTTTTGCGGAAATGAATCACCCTAATTTACATATTATTTCTTTATTTTGTTACATAATTATGATAAAACATAGTAATATAACATTTATATAAATAGGTTCCCCTCTTGTTATATTTACATCTCCCTTATGTATCAGCCATATAACAATGTTATATATCTACAATGGAACAATGATACATAATTGATATATGGCAATGTTTTATAGTATCCATATAACATTATTATATGGTATTTACATAGTTGTTCTTTATTGTGTTACATAATTATAATAAAACATTTTAATATAATAGTTATATAAAAATGATCCGTTCTTGTTATATTTACACCCCTACTATGTCATGGCTATATAACAATGTTTTATACCTACATTTTTTACGATTCAGCTTTTTCTTTTCACTATTTTTTGCGAATTGTTAAAAAAAATTGCAAAAAAAAAATTTTCATTCAAAAAATTGAACTTTGATGACTCCTACTGGCGAACCACTACGAGTTACACAAAAAAACACAAAGACAATTTTGAAGAGCGTGAAATTCCCTATAAGGTCCATAAAACCGATTCACAATATTGTAAAGAGCGGGCGAGCATTAGAAATTTGAAAAAAAACATTTTTTTACATGCATTTTAAATGGGAAAACTTTAAATTTAAACTGCAAGTACTTAAAATTGATATTAAGAGCTCTACCTTGGTGAAATTTTTTTTTCTATAGGTAGATTAATATTTTGCTTGAGCGCCGAGAAAAAAAAAGTTTTTTGCGGAAATGAATCACCCTAATATATATATTAGGGTGTCCCTTATTTTTATTTTTTTTACGCATACCCTCTAATTATATTTATTACTTGTTTATATACTCCCAGTAAAAATTTCAGCTCATTCTATAAACGGGAACCCGTGCCGACTTGCATCAACGTTAGGCGCGCGGTATTTTGTAACACGAAAACTTTAAAAAGAAGATATACTTCATGACTGTATTTTTCTAATGATTTTATTAAATATGATTACTAATTAATATTATTGCTTTTGTTTTTATCATTTGTTTCACTAATTTAGTTGATTTTATCCCTTAAATATATTAATATAATTAGTATTGCTAAAATATACTGTTATATGAAATTTCAGCTTTTTATAAGCATTTCTTTTCTTGGTGTCCTCCCAAAAATATTTCAGACAGTTCAATAAGTTTTCGGTAGTCATCTCTCAAAATAGACTCTTTTAATTATTTAGAGTAAAACCCATTAAGTTTATCAATTTCAGAGTTTACGGCCTATTCACCAGACCCTTCCGGGTAACTAGCCACTCCCTGTGAAAATATACATTTTTATCAAAGTATACACATAAATAAAACTATATTTTAACATTTGTCAATAATTTATAATATAAGGGTCACATAATAACAAACACAAAATGACTTACGATCGAAGACCTCGCGACCTCGTGTTACAAAATACCGCGCGCCTAACGTTGGCTAACGGAGGGTTCAGATGCAAGTCGGCACGGGTTCCCGTTTATAGAATGAGCTGAAATTTTTACTGGGAGTATATAAACACGTAATAAATATAATTAGAGGGTATGCGTAAAAAAAATAAAAATAAGGGACACCCTAATATATATAGATTATAGGTTAAATATTCACCAATATTCTTTGTTTTGTAACTTTATGTTTGTTTCATCAGCAGAATATGCCTAATATGCATTAGGCACAGGGGCGTACCGAGGCACACTTTTTTGGGGGGGTGGAGACGATTAAAAAAACCAACTTATTTTTTTATCGATACTTTAGTAGTTAGTAATAGTAAAAGTTTCCAGTAGTTTTATCATGAATGTAAAGTGTTGTAAAGTGTAGATAAAGAATGTCTTTACCTACCATTAGCATGCTCTTTTGAAGTCTCTATTTTTTTTATTTGCTACCAATGTAAGTGGATTATCCGGAACAGTAACAATTTTAATTTTAACCAAATTTCCACCGTGAATATTTTCCTCGTGCATTTTTTTCTAGTCCTTGTTAAACACAGATCCACATAATGAGCATTTTACTAGAACTCGGCCCGGTCTAGCTTTCTTTTCCATATTAAAAAAAAATTAATTCCTATTTATTGACACTAGTTTTACTTAGCTTAGATAAGCTTCAACTAATTAATAATTTAGAAAGACATAGCCGCGAGGCGGTGCCGACTTTGTACATGCCGCTTTCGTGAAATATAATGTCCTTTAATAAAAATAAGGTTGACCAATACAATTTTCTTGACGGTAACGATTATAGGAGGTTACAATAGATTAAAAATTATAATTTTGTAATATGTAGGTAAAGTTTAAAAATTATATTTCATTTTATTTATTGTGATGGGTTGGTTGGTAGGGTAAGTATACCCAACTAACCGACCCAAATACTATAGATTTTGCCAACCGTGTTTGGATTTGGAACCAACTGCCAAGTCTTTGGGGGGGTGACTCCCCCCCCTACACCCCACTTAGGCCCGGCCCTGATTAGGCATATTCTGCTGTTGGAACGAACATAAAGTTACAAAACAAAGAATATTGGTGAATATTTAACCTTCATCGCAACGTTGCCTAATTTATTTTCGCCGCTGGGGGTTTTCGCCGGCAAGATATTTCGGGCACCAGGTATACTCTCTTAAAATAAATTAGACAAAAATAACTAATTATAAGTCATATTTGACAAATTGTCATAGAGAAAAAGCAGTCACTAATATTTAGTCAAATTCTACTGAATGAAATAGTCAAATTAGTAGATTTAAATTTCAAAAAAGTTTTGACCCAGCCGGTGATTGAACTCAGCTCTGT